ATTTCCTTTCTTATCACATCGCATAACCTTGCGATTGAATATCATTTTATCCAAAGGGAAGTAAGCAGTGCTACTGATCGCTTCATGTTAGTGGAAACCGGTTTTTAACGCTCCAACCTCGGATGGGCCCTTGGCTCCAATGCAAAATCTATCTTTTTACTTTAAGAATTAGGCTGGGCGTTTATACAGGGCGCCGCTTTGAAAATAATGTAACTCCGTTGAGAGAAAAAAACTTGAAAAAAATAATGTAGCTGGTTAATATGGATTTAAGTTGAATTTATAGTTAGAATGTTGTCACTGAATTTAACTCATTTGAACGGGTGAAACGTAGAGAGCTTATTAGGTAAAGTGTAAACGGCGTATGTCTCGGGCAACTAATTCATCATTCGAACAATCGTATTTGTCGCTCTCTGTACTGAAGCATTATTCTATAGTAAACTACATTGCGAGTACTATTATTGAAATCATTTTGCACTTACGAGGAACAACGGTAGGAGTATTTTAAGGTGTCATTGAAACACCCGTGGCAGTAAAGCAGGGGCACCCAACGACAATTTTCTGGAAAATATCTGTTCGGAAGACGATTTGAGATCTAGAATTTTCGGAACATTTGTTGTAAAATTTCTTGCTTGCCTGCCTCTCCTAGGATTTTAGGAACATCTAGGAAATCCGAACAGATGAAAAATTTTTAGGAGATAAAAATATGCCTATATCTACCGTTTAAATACTAAAATACGTTTAACAATTCTATGTTTAAGTGGTTTTGAACTATATTCTCGTTGGGTGCCCCTGCTAAAGCCCTTTAAAGGTACTTAAAAATTAAGTTGAATTCTTACCCCAAGGAATGTCAGTGTATCCTCCAAAGACATATTGGCCTTCCTGTATGATAGTCACAGTATTTCTTTTGTGATCACATTTTTGGTGGAAGATTGTGTTACTCCAACCATGTGAGGTAGCATTGTAGCAAAGAAGCCAGGAAGAATCCTCCCCAACCTCAGGAGCCTTGGCAAGAAAACGGTGAAGATGTTGCAGATAAGACTGATTTCTATGTAATATTGTTGAGTTTATTGAAAATTCTGAAAATGGAAACATATGGATGATACAAAAAGGTTATTTTGGATGAGAAAATATCACGGTCAGGGAATCCATCCTTATATTTGCGTACCTAGCCACAGCCTCATTTTACACATGTCCTGCATTTAGATTAGATAGAAAGATAGATAGGTGGTATAGTAAATGAACGACGAATGAATGGATGGCTGGATGAATGACTAATCTTTCGTTAAAAAAAAAAGTGCATGCATGCATATTAGATCAGGGATGATAATGAACAAAGTGAAAGCGGAAGGTAGCATTAAAAACAAAACCAGTCAAAAGAAGCAAAAAAGACCTTTAACTCCACAGCAAACAAGCATAGCAGCAAAGCCGCGCGACAATTCCGGAATAAGCGAGAACATGAAAGTGAGTAATTATAGCACGGTTCTGCTAAGGTAGATCCCTTCTTTGCTCTTGTTTTCTTTGCTCAAACTCGAGGTAAAACTGAATACATTTTTTATGGGATAATAGTGGACGGAAGGATGTAATAAAGGGTTTGGCGGACGAATGGGTACTAGATTAATATCAATATTTTTGGGGGGTAGATAAAAGACTATTTGACATCGCGGTAATAGTGTCTCTTGAACAGACCACTGGCGTTTTCCAAAGTAAGTAGATTATTCGCTGACATGCGTCCCAACCATGCATCACCTCGAGCACTACCAGTTTTGTATAATTGTTCGTTTTTGTTTTGGGACAGAGCTACACTTGTACATGCATGCGTCTGCATTTCGAATGATCCCGTGATTCAGCGCTGGTCTTACAAATTCTACACATACAATTTTCTCCCGTGTTAGTAATGTCGTGAACTGTGGTTTTAGTTAATATGAACTGATGCGGTGGCTCCGCTAAGAAGAGCTTCTGCACTTATCAATCCACAACCTGACTTGGCAGGAATCGAATATTGGTCGTTTTGTGAACCATAATATTTCTATCCAAAGTAAAATTGTACAAGAGCTGTTTGAAGACGTGTAACTGGTTTGTTGTGTGACTGAGAATGACTTCAGAATTTTTCCACCTACTAAGCCACCTTCTAAGACTTGAAAAAGGCTGTTCCGGATCTCCTTTTTTCCATTTAACCCTTTAGACCCTAAGAGTGATCAGCATCAAATTTCTCCTTGAAATAGCGATGCTTTGTAAAACAAAAGTTGTAATGAGAATTAAGGACATGATCACACAAGATGCATTAGCTTGATATTTTGTCAACTTCTCCCCACTACTTCTATAGTAAATCAATCCTTTAATTTTATACTAGAATTTTAATTTAGATCTTAGGGTTTAGAGGGTTAAATAATTAGTCGATCATTAATGGATGGTGTTTATCTCGGTCAATCATCTTATCTTATGCTCCCATCGTAGTACAGAATGGGGGGTTAATAGTTACTCCTTAAGAGTTAGCCGAGGATGTATTTTACATTATGATGTAAATATTTAGAGATGAGCTCTGACGTTTCCACAATAATCGTGACGACTAAGATGTTAGATTTGAATAAGTAAGTCAATAATAACTGAATAAATAAATGAAATTATTATAAAAAGAGCGAGTAACAATTTCTTATAATTTACGTCAATTTATAATAGTACATCACTGAACATTATCCATTTTTGTACTGAACCAAAAGTCTCAAAACGTACTAACGGAAAGCGAGACAGGAATTTCAAGAACCAACCTGCCAGTGAACAGTTGTGGCCATTTCCAATGTACCCTGGTTTGCAACTACAGTTGAAGGACCCTTCGATGTTGGTACAGGTGGCATTTTTGCTACAATTGTGAGAGTTGTTCAGGCATTCGTCTGAGTCTGAGT